CAATGAGGATAAATACATAGAGGAAATAGACAAATAAAACGTGGAGGCTTTCATGGCTCCGTCAGGAGACTGACAAACAAATGAAATAATTGGGGGTCATACGTTTTCATCATGCTGTCAAAGTTGACACCTAGTGACTGTTTTTTTTTTTCTTTCATTTTCGTGATTTTGACGCTCAATGCGTCCAGCTGGATGAAACGTAGCCAGGTAACTCGAACAGCCATCGCACAACTCAGGTTCATTTATTTTCCAAGCGCACTAGCTCACCATCACTTGCGTTCCGCAGAATGTTTGGGTTGCCATTTAAGGTTCAGATGAGGAGACCATCCGTCAGGCTTGAAACCACACTTGTCAGCGAAGTCATCAATGATCTAAAACAAAAGTGTCCTCGTTTTCCTAAACAAGTGCGTACCTCGATATCTGACGGAAGCGCCTTGAGCAACTTTTTCGGAGGAAAACGATCGAAAAGTTTATCCCATAGTCTGAATGCATCTTGTTTGTCCGCCTCGAGTTTGTTGATGGCCACATTTTTGGATTTGACGGCCACGCCCACGCCTTCGTCGTGCCGTGTCACGTTCACCCCCTCTGACAAGACCAAATCGGCCAGAAGCGCAGCAGAGACTCAACCGGAGATACATTTTTCGACTCAACAATTGATTGTTCCGCCTGACAGTCATGCATCCCTCGCGACTCATTCCGCTGGCGTTTCTAGCGAAAAACGGTCTGAACGTTTCTCATTTAATCGTTTCTCTATTTGTCGTTATGTTAGTTCTAGTAAGCTCTTAATAACCAGTGTTTCATTTGTGCTCATCTGAATGTCAATTTGTAACACCAACAATGCAGGTGTCACTAGATTCTACAAATTGACCGCCTACAACTGATCGACATGACGCGAATTTGAATAGCTTGGGCGCAGAGTACCGTCTTCCTGCAAAAGAACCCCAAGACTTGGAGTCGCGACAGAATGGCCCACCTCATGCTGGGTAGTCTCAAGAGCTACAAGTTAGCGCTATTTCCAACCACTTCCATCAAATTGAGGCCCAACAATCGGATGAACCTTCACTTGTAATTCACTTCTGGTGCGTCTGGAATAATCGATCCAAAGTGCGTTTTCATCCAAGGATGTTCCAAGCATTGAGCTGCAGTTGGGTCGCGCTGACGGATCAGTCTGTAATAGCTCTGAAATGAACGCCTGACAAAACACGTTTAAGAATTCACATGAAAGGATCCACATACTTTGCACGAGAGCGGCAGATGACTCCAAAGTTCCGGAGGTTGGAACTTATACACGCCTTTCACGATAGATTCAGCAATTGCCTGATCATCAGCTCCCTGAAAAGGCAGCTCGCCAGCAAGAAGACTGTAGGTGACGACCCCGAGACTCCACAGGTCGACTGCATGGTCATAGGGCATTCCGAAAATCACCTCAGGCGCTGCAAAGTGGAGGGTTCCAAGCTGCTCTAACGCAACACACGACGGAGCTAAAATTTTAGACAATCCGAAATCGGTAATTTTGACGTCAACCAAACAACAAAGAGACTGGCACAACTCGCATTGTTGGCATTCACAAGAGCTGACTTCTATTGAATCTGCTGCTTCTAGCGATTCACTTTCCCTGAGAGGAATTTTGATGGGATGCAATTCAAGGGGTTCACTTAAATCATCTTGATGGTCTTGAGACTCGAACGAAACAGATGGAGGAGTGGATTCTGTTGAGGTGACCATTAGAATATTTTCTGGTTTCAAATCTCTATGAATAATGTTATGAGTATGAAGACAAACTAATCCAAGTAAGACGCCGCGTGCAACAATAAGAGCCAATCTCTGTGCAAGACTGAGAGAACAATCAAGAGAGAGAAATCTCCAACCTACAGAGCACGAGTGATTCGAACCCCCTTTTCACTCATCGCGTTATCAGAAGGATCTTCTGATTCCATCAACTGGATTCGAACTGCAGGATCCTCACATGAAGACCAAGATCGACAATTACAGAAATGATCCACGTGGGACGGAATCCGACGGGCTAAACTTCCGACATCTCCTTTAGGAACCCACTCCATAACTGAACGAAGTTCAAAAAAAATGTATGATAAAAACACAAAAATACAGATATAAGCTCACCTACATACAGGTATTGACTAGAATCATAAACATCAACTAATTTTACAATATTTGGATGACGGATTAATCGAAGAACAGCAACTTCTGTCCTCAAATATTGACTGAAGCACACATCAATCATGATAATCGCTCAATTTTCAACTCCAGCAAACGCATCAGTCATGATAATCAGCTGATTCAAATCATGACAATCAGTCAATCCGAACACCCACCGATCTTCTTTTACAATATTTTTCTTTACAAGAAGCTTCACAGCAACTGGTTCCTCTGAAAACGGTGGGAGTAACGATGACTCTCTCAAGTTCTTTAATCTTGTTGCGATTCCCACTTACGCGTAAATTTGTCGATACCACGATGAACGACAGCGAATTTTCCCCTCGCACGAGGACTCTGAAGAGAAGAGTCCCAAATCCACAAAACGGATGTCTGTTTCTCACTTCAAGTTGATAATCATCATGAAAGACGGAAGTGCGTGCTGCACGCTGGAGAGCGCGAATCCAAACGTCTCGATCGCTCCGTACGGACGCAAACAAGCGATGCGTTCTTCCGCTCTGATGTCGAGTCGTTTTTCGGACTCACCATTGGGACAAGACTTACTGGAAGACAAATATCGAACGGATACGCATTCCGACCGTCCGTATGACAAACAGACACAATATGAGCGTCTTGAAGGAAAAGCGCCTTTTTCGGTGCTTTGTCCTTAATACGTGCGAAATCTGCCGGAAATTGGACCATTCAAATAGCATCTGACATGGCGTGCACTTACAGTAAAGAAATCTGTCCCGAAGGACAAAAAAACGATAGTGCTTGAGCTGAAGCGACGCCCAACTTTGTACAACCACCCGGAAACTATTGGAACGTGATCTGAAGGAGACTCTCGCTCGAATTCGCGAATTCCGTGTTGACTTTCTGGATTGGATGAATTTTTGGAAATAAGTCGATCAAACATTTCCTCCGAGCCGCTTCTCGATGTCCCACATGATTGGGATCCCACGTAAGGAATCCATGGGGCATCTGATGCAACACTTCTACTACGAGTTAAACTTGGAGGAGACGCTTGGATCTCCTCACTGCAAAGACGTGGAGTTCTTTCAAACGACGGTACTGGAGAACCATCACTCGATAGGATTGTCTTGTAGTAGACGTCTGTTTGGATACCGAGCCACCTGCATGGCCCTTCAAAGAAAGAGGGATTCCAAGAAAACGGGGCTTTTCAACAGAATCAGATCGTCCACACAAGAAGCTCGATCCGCGAGAATTGCTTATCATATTTGGAGTGAGAGCATCATGGGGGACTGGAAGGTCGGGCATTCCAGTATCATAAAACAAATTTAGTAAATCGGAAATCTCTGAATTCTTCTCAAGCGCTTCACAAAACTCGTCATACGTTAAACCACTTTGAGGTCGCGACTGAACAGTTGAGGGCGCGTTTTTTGACTTTTCAGAAAAAACCATTTTGACAATCGACGCGACACGCTCGTCAACTCCGGATCTGCTGCTCTCGCTTCGACTGCCGCTTGAGGCGCGATTCCTTCTCTCGAGATCCAAATTCTGAAGGAGAAACGGGTTTTGAGAATAAAAGAAAGAAGAGTAGCGAAGATATTTGTTCTGTTCAAGACTTACTGATCTCGTTTGAAGCGTCCGATTCTCCGCTAATTGTTGCAACGCGTCAAACGCAGCTGGAATATGCGCTAGAAGGGACGATAACTCTTCTCGGCTGATGGATCCATTACCATCCAAATCGTACCTATAATTCATCAATAATACCAGAAAAACAACGTAGTCGACTCACATGTTGAATAAAAAACGTTTTCTTTCCGCTGCTGTCCCATTGTAAATCACAGATAATCCCAGAAAAAATTCGTGGAAGTCGATTGTTTGTGATCCATCCGCGTCAAAGAGATCAAACAATCTCTCTCCCAAGACACCAGGCAACGGAAAGTACTTCAGAAACGTCTCTTTATCAAGTGTTCGACCCTTTTTGTCTGATTGTCCAGCAAGATCTCTAAACATCTCTTTTAGCACTCCGACCCATTTTTGTCGAAGCTTGACGTCAGAGGGAAATGTCTGGATTCCGTCACGCTTCTCTACTGAAATCTTGACTGCAGGTTCCTCTGAACAAAGAAACCCAAGATCAAAGAAACCCAAGATTCAAGGTCACTCTACAATCAATTTACTTAAGGGCAGCTGGGATTGGATGGAGAGAGGCGGTCCAGTTTGAGCTCTCCTTCTTCGGCGCCGTTGATCGGCAACGTCAGAGCCTAACCAATAAATACCCACTGCTGGCGATTTTGAGTACAACTTACTGAATGTTGAAGGAGGGGGAACGTCTGAACTTTCGTGTGATGGGGAGCGTTTGGGTGACGGAAGAGTGAGATTCCGGGAACGTGGACGCCGGACATCACCAGACGTTTGAAGATGGGATATCAATGCAGGAGTCTCTTCGGTCGGCGCTTCATCTCGAGGCGATGCGGGCAACACGGCGATATGGGGTGGTGATAGTGACATTCAGTCTATTCAGTTCTCAATCACTTACTCATCCGGTTGAGTTGTATCTTTATTTAACACTATACGTCGTTGTTCATGTCAGATTGAGACATCGATTGCGGTCCTGGACTGTTTCTGACATGCAGAACATCCACTTCGTTTGACTCATCAATATCTGAAGAAGTATGACGACCCATATCGACTCAGCGGCTCGCGTCGCAGCAAACCGTTTCCTCGAATATGTAAATTCAACCGGATCTCCATATCACAGCGTTCTCTCTGCCCGACGTCTTCTGGATGCCGCGGGGTTTCATTGTCTTCAAGACCGCCCAGGGTGGGACCAAATTGCTCACGGCGGGAAGTACTATGTTGCTTGTAATCATTCGACCATTATGTCGTTTATTGTCGGTGAAAACTTCTCACGCGAATCGGGCGGATTCGTCGTTGTGGGTGCGCACACCGACAGCCCTTGCGTCAGAATCCGACCAAATAATGACGTCGCAAGCGAAGGGTATCGAATGCTGAGCGTTGAGACGTACGGTGGAGGTAAGTGCGAGAGATAGAGTTCTAAGCATTAAGAGATCTCTTAAGTAGGATCATCACTGTGACTACAGGATTGTGGCACACCTGGTTCGACCGCGGTCTGGCCTTGGCAGGGAAAGTTGTCATTAAGAAAGATGGTGTCGTCGAAGAGAAGCTTGTCAGAATTCAGCGTCCGCTTCTGATTATTCCTAATTTGGCAATTCATCTTCAATCAGCTGATGAAAGAACGGCGTTCAAGATTAACAAAGAGAGTCACTTGCGTCCAGTACTTTGCTCAGAAATCAAACGTCTTCTTGCGGATACAGATGAGAACAAAGTGCCCCCAATTCAGAAACTTCTTGCAACAGAAGTTGGATGCACTCCCGATCAAATCATTGATTTAGATGTGTGTCTGATGGATGCCACTGACAGCCGACTTGCAGGAATTTATGAGGAATTCGTTGAATCGCGTAAGCTTAGCGCGATAGCACGTTTAAAAATCATGTTTCTCAGCTCGTATTGACAACCTTGCAAGCACATGGGCCGCAATGACTTCCATTTCTGAAATTACTCCGAATCAAATCGCTGCTAGTTCAGACGTCATGGTCGCTATTGCATGGGATCACGAGGAAGTGGGGAAGCGAGTCCCAATCTGGGGCAGCTAGCATCACATTGACTCGATGGATGCAGCAAATTATGCGCGGACTCTTCGCAGCAGAGTCAGAGGCATTATTTCCGAAGATCGCTGCCAGAAGTTTCCTCGTTTCGGCTGATGGTTAGAATGATCCATCAGCAACATTTTGATTCAATCTTTTAGGGGCTCACGCGGTTCATCCGAACTACGCGGACAAACACCAACCTCTTCATAAGCCGTTGCTCCACAAGGGGATCGTTCTAAAAGAGAATTCCAACATGCACTACACCTCAGCAGCCACAACACTGGCCCTGACCAGAGCAGTTGCTGATATGGCGGATCCTCCTTGCCCTGTTCAAAATTTCGTTGTTCGAAATGATTCGCCCTGTGGAAGTACAATTGGTCCGATGTGCTCGGTAAGGATTGAATGTTATGCTATTCAAGTCCAATGAAATGATCTTTGTTGAGACTGTTTGGTGCCTCAATTGATCGTCGTTTTTTTCTGTTACTCAGGCTAGAACTGGAATAAGAGCTGTTGATCTTGGTATTTCTCAATGGGCCATGCACTCAATCAGAGAAACCTGCTCTGTTGATGATTATTTCACCTCAAGAATCTGATTACTTCATTCTTCACGAAATTCAGAGAAATTGACGATCGTGCTAAATATTTGTAAAATACATTGTTATATATTTTAGACCCAACGGAGTGAGTGCAACGTTGCATTTTTTAGATAACTCGAATGTTCAAACATCAAAAAACCTTAACTACGAGCTACGAGAGGATCATCCAAAAACATAATTACGAGAGGATCATCAAAAAAACAGAATTATCAATCTTCTCGATTTGATCGACGTTTCGAACTTTTAAATTCTTCTTCAATAAGCGAACCACTTCTGAGCCGCTTACCTCCTCGCATTGCACTCCCTGCTTCTTCCTCCTCAATGTGTGGTCTGTTTGCAACCCACATAACATGAATCCCTTCGTTGGCAACTCCATCAAGCTAACAAAGAATGATAAGAAGTCGACACTAAAAATGATGATTAAGAACGAAGACCTACCAGATGAGGCGTCAGAATTACATATTGAGAGTTTGGTTCATCTGGTCGACTTCCATGAGCAATTTCTCGTACAAGGGTCATCATCTAGCAACAGAAAACGCACCACGATGTCCAAATGAAGGAAGACATCACTTCTCTCAGTTTCTTCACATACTTTCGTCTCGTTTGTTCTGTCTAATCCTTGATTAATTTCATCGACCACTCGAAATGGCGCAGTGCTAATTCCTTGCAACGCCAGAATGAACACCATTGCAGCACAACTTTTCTCTCCCCCTAAAGACGTTTTAAGTAAACACTTGAAGACCATTTCAATGACTACCATCTAAATCTCTACCATCTAAATCTCTACCATCTCAATCTCTACCTGATTGGTAGCCAGAGGATAAAGATCTGAACGGTTCCCCTTCACGAAAACGAACTTCAAGAGTCAATCCACAAGACGAGAATGTTTCCATGTTTGTCGGAATCACTCGCCCTTTATACGTCCGATTAATCTCCGACATGAACGCTTGAAACCGGACGTTAATTGCATTCGACGTTTTCTGCAAATTATCTTTAAAGCGTTCTCCATTGGTTTGAATTCGCTGCTTATTCTCAGACAGCCCTTTTTCTGCATCAGCAAGTTGCTCTCGGCACTTCTGCAAACTTTCTTTAATTCGCTCAAATTCTCCCTCAGCACTGAAGTGTTCAAACATTATTATTTTGATTTCATTATTTTTTGAGTGACATCTCTCTGGGATATTTAATGAACCTACGCGAGATTTCGAGTGAGCGCGTCTCGCTTCACTTTTATGTTCCGGCTCTCGCTCCGTAATTCGGGCACTGAATTGGCGAGGCGTTCGAATTCTTTACGATCCTCCTAAATGAGATTGACGCATCACAAAGTTATGAATCACAGGAAGGCTCGAAGCTTCTTCATCTCACCGCTGTGATGCCCAGCTGCCTCAAATCCCTTTCCGCAGTCTGTTTTGCTTCTTGCAAATTCTGTTTCGTCTTCTGCAGCTGCGACATTCGACTCAACAATTGAGAATTCTATGAAGACAAACTCAAAACAAGACCATTTGACATAAAAATGATTACTTCATGAATCAGCGGTGATAGTTCTTCTCTGCATTTGAAGACTTCATCAACTAAACCATTTCTGTTCAAACAAAACATGACTGTAATGATAGTGTATATGAGAGTACAAAACATCAGAGCAGAAACACATCAACGCTCTCACCTCTCCAACGCAAACGCCTCGTATTTTTCTTGATCTGAAGAAATGCGTGCTTTCAGTTGTTCCCTCAACTTGTCGTTTTTTGCAATCTGAAATTCATTTTCATATTCCAAACCAAACAGACCTCTCAGAATCATTGTTGCGATGTTTCCGCAAAGCAACAACGACAACATAATAATAACAGAATCAACAACTCCAATCTCACCACTTTCAAATTTTGAGCAATTTTCTCTTCAACTGTCTTCTCACTGGCAAGATCAGGCTTTTGCTTTTCTTTTACTAGAAGTTGTCGTTTTCTTGAAACACAGAATTCTCCTCAACAATTTCTTTGAATTAAAACTTACAACTCTTGAATCCCCTTTTTTATTTTATCAAGCTGAATTGTTTCATATCGACATTCCATCAATTTCTTGTAAATCTCATTGTGCTCTAAGTTGATCGCATTCTAAAACGCACAAATAGAGAGCATTGTGCATCCGGAATACATTTATGTGGAAGACCGTACGAGATTCTGACGCGTCCTCTCTATTTCTTCAGAAACTTCTCTGAGTTCCTTGTCGTGCTTGTCGATCTCCGCCGTGAATCGTTCCAACTGATTCGGGAGATCCGAATCTGGCGCAACGAATAAGACGCTGTGATGTCCCGTAGCGCGCCTACCTGTTCCGGCAATCAGATCCGACGTCGCAATGGGCTCGACAGTTGCGTACGTATTCGACCCATAACGCGAGAATTCTTTGAGATACAATTTATTGCGATAGAAGTACCTTGAAATCCATCAACCAGTAAGAACGTGTTGACGAATGAGAACCAACCTGATAGAAACTTTTTTTGATGTCTTGCCAAACTTTGCGGATTGCTTCGTCAATTCGTCGGTCAAAGTGCGTTGTAATCGTTCGTGCTCGTCGTCATGCAGTTCCGCTCCATACCGCTCTGAGTCGATAATTGCAACTCCTCCGATTCCGCAGTATTGAACAAGAATCTTGCGCGATCATGACAGTCAATGCCGGATGCTGAACGGACTTACAGAACGAACAATGGGGTGAGAAATCTCCTCATGGAGAAACGAAGACACGCCGATACTTCGAAGGCTTTCACTGACACGAGGATAGAAAAGAGCGCCGCTAGGGAGCGAAAGGGTTCCAAGCTGTCAAACATATGAGGAGTCCAAGTCAAACAAGAGAGGGACAAACTCACACCCCATTTACGAAAAAGTTCATGGGAGAGCTCTCGACCGCAGACAAAGTAAAACGCGCGGGCTCCAAGAAATTTCTGGACAAGCCCCGTGAGATGTTCCGCAACGTGAATATACGCCGCTGAAGCAAAAGGTTCGTCTTGGGCAAGTGCGTCATGTAACGACAGATGTTTTCCCATATTCGATGCTTTAAGGGAATTTACCAAGTGGGCCGAACATTTCAGGAAGCTTTCCATTTGATGGAAGAGTCTCTTGGACTCCCTTCTCCTTCAGCAACGATGTCATACCCATTTGTAATTTCTGATTGGGACATCGTCGCACTACATGCCTGAACGATCGACGAATTGTTATCTTTTGACAGATAACTTGGAAGCAATGAATGACTCTGTCATCAGATCCCAATTCGAGTTTTCCGCAACCCGTGTAAATACTCTCAGGCTTCTAGCTTACCACACAGATTGGGACTTTGATTTTGTCAACTGCTCTCGCTCCCTTAATGCTCTTTGACGCATTGTTGTGAGACTTCTTTTTCTATCAAGAAGTTTTTCTTCAATCTTATGAGCGCTAAAAATGAAACAAGTATTAAACTTCAGCAGAAATTGAAACTCACTCTTGTCTCTGTTTGTCCTGCTCTTTTAAAAAACACTCCAAATCTCTTTCATTTTTCACTTGATCGCGGGAAGGCTGCAACGAAAAATGCAGAACAACAGATTTAGAGAATGACCATCAGCTCCACACTCTCAGACCTTGCGACTTTCCAGTCTTGTTTCCTCATCTGCAAGTTGAGATTTTAATTCCATGACACTGTCCTTCCACTCTGTAAGGATTCTTTCAAAATGATGCCGGTTTTTTTCAAGTTGTCTGAAAACCCAAACACCAAATTGAATTCGTAACAAGCGTCTCACTCATTTTCTTTGTCTTTCGTCTCATTCATTTCTCCCAATTCTTCAATTTTCTCTAAAATCAACCTTCCGCTCTCCTTCAACTCGTCAAGTTTCAGCTGCACTGCCTTCATACAACACAACACCATTTGCAACCATCACTCATTTGGCATCCTACTTGCTGCTTCGACTGTTTCTCGTTTAAATCTTCCTCAACTCGAGATTTCTCATGTTCACTTCGTTTCAATTCCTTTTGTAGCTGCAGAATTCAGATGTCTATTTTCGCTCATTCCTTATTCAACGTACATGTGTGATACTCTGCTCGCACTCTTTCAACACCCTCCCAGATTCCTTCACTTCCAAAGCTGCTACTTTTTTGCCAATAATCTCAATCTCCTTCGTCCATCTTTGTGCTTGCGAGAATGTTTGCATTGCTTCCTGACAAAAGAACATCAATGGTCCAGAACACAGCAGAGTTGGATTGGAAGACTGTTTCTATTGACCTCATGTTTCTATATGTTCAATTCTATGCAAGTAACGCGTCTGGAGTTCATCGTCTCTCAAACCCTGCTTCCTACTTATCTGAACTACTCACTGTGCATCTTCCCTCCTGAATTTTGAGATCAGTTTCCTTTTTCCGAAGAATTTCGACTGCCTGAGGCACAACTATTCAATTGCGACAAATTGAAAGTATTTTCGGACTTTTTCAAGTGAAATGATTTCTTTTTCGGAGTTCGTCAAAACTCTGAGAAATACAGATGATCCACTCGATGGATATATTCTTGCGGATATCTTCACTTACTTCAATAGCGTCGCTTCGTCCCTATTAACAGCTTGTAATACACACTCCAATAATGGACGGCCATTCAATGAGGAGAATTCGTTAACACGATCTTGTGGAAGAAAGCTAACGAGTGAGTCAACTGAAACAGAAGAAAATCAAAAAAGAAGAAATCAGAAAGTATAAAGAATCATCAGAAGATGAAACTCTCACCCTGTAGATTGAGTTCTTGCTGAAGACGAATGACGTCTTCTGTTGTTGATTTATGCCCTGAAAAGCAGAAGAAAAGACTAAAAAGTAGAAATTCTACAATAAGCAGTTCGTAGACGTTAAACCGCGACTGATCAAAGTTGGAAAAGCCTTCTATTTCTCACCGTCTATTTTCCAGAGGGTATGGACTCCCGTGTCAGACTGAACATCGCAGAACTCGATTATTTAGTATTTTGAAATTGTCAACTCACCCGCAGCATCTCACGCCTGATTGTTATTTCATCTTCTGAATGGTCTTCCGATGCCATCTGATACAACCATGAAGACCCTGATTGTTGTAAAGTGCGTTCTGCACTTACTGTGACTTCAATACACGATGAAGATTGATTGTTACAAATGAATGCATCCGCCGTTTTGGCTCTTCCAAGAACATTCACTCGAAATCCTAATCCAAGAGCTGCAAATCAAACAGATTTCAATAGGATAACGCTCCATCCATAATATTCATCAACTCCATAATATTCATCAACTCCATAATATTCATCAACTCCATAATATTCATCAACGCTCTTCATTCATGGTATCCATTCATACCTATCGCGCACACAACGGCGCTCTTCCCTGCAAATCACACTCTTATTCATAAAATCGAGTTTGAAATGACAAACCTGATCCGTTCGCTGCACAAACGAGATTCACTCCACTTCCAAATTCAAATTCCTGTTCATTTTCAAACGCCATGAAATTTCTGAACCGCAACGACTTCAAGGCTCCCCGACGCCAGCGGGTATCCTGAGACATCTTCTTCAGTGATAAATCAAGTGTGTTTGAATGGCTGGCAATAACAAGAAGACAGTCATGATCCAAGATTCAGTGGGCGAGTTCATTGAAGTCGTCAAGGAGAACTTCTGATGCCTCAGCTTTTTTTATTGTGAAGCTATTTTGTTGTGAAGCTTTTTTGTCTTAAGCTATTTTTTCATCCTAAGAATCCCAAACTAGGCAACATTTCTGTGCTTTGCAGAAAAGCACGCAAAACAAGTAGAATAAGAAGACACGAAGCACCAAACAAGAACGGCTAAGATTGAAAAAATGAAAAGACGGCTGGCTATTAAGGCATACGGTGATCAAACGTTGTCGCTGTTTGATCTTTGGGGTCAAACTCCGGGGATTTTACCGGATTTGGTGGTGCAGATCGCGCGTAAACTGGATTTCCAACGACACGCACCTCATCCCCAGGTTGAGGCCGCTGAGTTCTCTCAAGAAGCCCCCGAACAACCTTTTCACAATAATAAGCAACAACTGCCCAATAAATTGCGAAAAAAATGCAGAGCAATATCTCGGCAATGCCTAATCACACAAACAGGTGGGTAAAAAAATGGATAGAAATCTGAAATGAGTTACTCACCTGAAAGTATTAGCAAGCTTCTTGATGTGATGCGTAATGACGCAAGCTCTTCATCCGAAAGGGAAGCACGAGTGATCAAAATCACAAGAGCAAGAATTCCACGTGCAATAAGGAACGCAAAAAGAACCAGGCAGAGAAGGAGAACAGCTGTAATAAGGCGCCAGTCTCTTTTTTTACATCCATAAAAGCTGCAGAAACCCATTCCAATCCCAAGAAATAACAATAAAAAAGCAGAAATTGACGGCTCCAGCACAATCGATGAAATTGACATAAGGATCACGAACACGCAACCTGCCAGGCCATATGTTCGGAGCTTCCTCAAATCCTCTGTCAACCGGGATTCTTCCTGGTTTGTCTCATCAATGGCAAAACTACGATGTCGAAGGTCATGAATTGAAGCAGCCGTCATGAGAGACACATCACGGATTGGAACCGCATTGTGTGTCTTCTCGGGATCTGCTTCCTGATTCACTGGTTTTTCTGGATTTATTGGACCCATTCTCTTAAGAAATAATACTTTTTTTTGCAATTTATTAGTCCTGGGACTGCGTTTCTGTTGTTATCCGGCCACCGGCAAGTGGCTCTGACACGAAAAATAGAAATTACTCAGTGAACGTCGATTTTCCCGTTTCCCCAAAATTAAGAGTGTCTGCACCAATTGAACGTTTTCATTGTCATTATGTTGTCTCACATGATTGACAGAGACGGATTTTTTGCACCCACTGAACCTTCTTAACGAATTGTGTTCCAGAACTGCGATTATGGCGCCTAAGCGGCAACGCGATGAGAATGAGGGAAAGAGTTCCAGAAAGAGACTTCGAAAAGTTGAGAAAGAAATCTCTAAAGTCGTTGATGATGTAGAGAATCAACATCCAGTAGAGTCGATTGAAGACTCTTCTGAATCTGTTGATGGGTCGAAACTTAAGATCTGGTTCTGGAATTTAAATGGTATCGGAATATAGAGATCTTCCATTTTGTTTATCTCTTTTATTGATTAGGTATTCGCGCTGTTCTTAAAAATGGCTCTTCTCTGAAAGGTTTGCTTGAGTCAAAATTCTCTCTCTCACTGATTCCCTGTAGACTTTGTTAAAAATCAGTCTCCTGAAATTATCTTGTTGAACGAAACTCGAATTCATGATTCTCAATCCAATGACTTCAATGGTAATCGATATAGTTGTGTTGACTCAATCGAAAATGCGTGTATCCAGATATCTTGCCCGGGTACCGCGGATTTTTCTGCTGTTCAGAGAAGAAAGGTGAGAATCTCTTCCCATTACTGCTCAGTAGCAGCTTTCTCAGGCTATGCTGGCGTCGGAGCCTTTGTTAAAGATGGAGGTACACTTCAATCTCCGTTAAACAGAGTGCTTCATCCTATCGCTCACAGTCAATGCAAAAGTCATTTCGACTGGATTAGATGATAAAGAATTGGATAAAGAGGGAAGAGTCCAAACACTTGGTAAGAAGCTTTAAATAAGTGACACAATAGAATCCAGATAACCAAAGAGAGACTGTCTGTATTCTGCAGAAGTTTCAGTTCCAGACATCCCAACATTTTATCTCGTCAACACTTATGTCATGAACGCTGGCCAAAAATTAGTTCGCTTGAAGCAAAAAATCGATACGTTCAATCCGCTTCTCTAGTGAGATTTCAACTTCATATTTCTTGATCATGTTGGTCGTCCATCTTTCACGATTTGTTGCAGCAAATATTTGAATTCTTTACGTGAAAAATATCCAGTTGTTTGGTGTGGTGATCTCAATGTGGCTCATCAAGTGAGTTGACGAAGACATTCACTAGATTGTTGGTTTCGACAGAAATTAAAAAAAGACGTTATTGACTCTGACGCGTTTGTTCTATTTGTAGGAAATTGATATTTGGAATTCGAAAGGAAATCAAAAAAGTGCAGGCCATACGCCAGAAGAAAGGTTGGTAGCATCAATCTTAGACGACATATTAATTGAATCACTACTGAACGAGAAGTGAAATCTTGATTACAGAAAATCTTTTGGAGAATTTCTGGAGTCTGGAAATTGGATTGATGTTTTCCGACATCATCACCCAGACACAGTGCAATATACTTATTGGTCGGGAAGGTTAGAATTGATCTTCATTTGGAAGCACATTCTGCTGTTGTGACAGATTTCCATCAAATTTTATAGACAATAAGGGATGGAGACTCGACTACTTCGTTGCCTCGAAAGACTTCCTGCCTTACTGCAATGATGTTGTTATTCTCAAAAATGTCAGAGTACGGCGGAGAAATCGTATGTGATGATGAAAAATGTTTCTTGTCGGTAGGGAAGTGACCATTGTCCTGTTGGTCTCTTATGTACCCCTCAAAGAAATAGTTTAGAAATTCCTGCGTGCTGCTCGGAATGAGTGATGTTGCACGCCTGCTTGATTTAGGCAGGCTATTACGGAATAAATGAAAAACCACTACAGTACAGTTAAAAAAACGCCTCCTAATTGGGAAGCGCAGATTTCGAAGCCATTCCGCCGCCAAAACCACCAGAACTGAGATAATCAACTTCTTCTGCAGTCGAAATTCGCCCCATAACTGCATTACGATGTGGGAAGCGACCAAATCGCTCGATGATGTTCAAGTGATCTTTGGCCCATGTGACGTTCCCACCGCCGAGCGGCGTCATCAGTTCTACTGCTCGCTGCTGATCCTCGAGTTCTTCTGAATGCTCGAACGGCATGTAAAAAAAGGATCGAAGATCTTTGAGTGCAGGATCCTGATCGAATTTGTTTTTGACGGCTTGGCTGGCAAAAGTACGAGCGAGTGAATCCGTTGCAAACATATGGGAACTTCCTCTGAATATATTACGCGGTATCTGATCTAATAGTAAAATGAGTGCTAGTGCACCATCTGGAGTTTCCATCCAAGTGTCAAGATTGCGACGGGCTGCTTCGAAATGAAGATCTTGGAAACGGTCTCGAAGTTCTTGATCAAAGGCAGCATCAGTTGAGAACCATTTAGGAGGACCAGAAGATCTCCAGAACGAGACGAGCGAGGAAGCCATTCGAGGAAGAAGTGTTGAACGAATTTTGTCGCACCGGTTTTTAAGTGCATGCAAAACAGAACACAGAAAATGCTCGCGCCATATAGTTGGCAGCATGAAGGGAACCAAAACGCCAGAAACGCACGATCTAAACGTACGCTTCATTCATCTCTGGCTTCTTCACAACGTTCAATTTCCAGGTTCGCTCCTTCCGCACGGAGGATGGCGAGACTGTTCGGGCGATATGTCGATCGCACTTTCGGTCCCTTTGCCTCCCAGCTGTCAAATATTATATTTTGGAGCATTTCCGTGATCTTGTCGCTTTGTTAGTGATCGGAAAGATCTTCCAATCGTGGACTGAATTACTTCTGGCTGTTGGGATCTTTCTTGTGTATCTCTTTGTTCGCGCTAGAATTGAAATGGTAGGAATTTGGAATGACCAATCAATCAAATTTTAATCTATTAGGAATTCTATATCAATCGGGATTGCGCTGATATTAACGACATCGTTACTTATTATAACATCAATGATCCCAATTCGAGAAGTCATTTCTGGGTTGCTGAGGCTTCCCTCAAACAAGCCGCTACTGCAACAGGAACCCTATCTGTCAAAGTTGTCGGTTGTGTGGGATGTTCTCCGGCCCGTGATGACCCTCAAATTGCCCAGTTGGTTCGATTAGTGGTCGCTGAGGATGCGAGGTAAGAGTCTCCATGAAAATGTTCGGTCGTGCATCAATTGTTGATCAGACGAATGCGAAACGGATCTCGCTTACTCGCTCAATTCGAACATTTCGCGATGGAAAATGGATACAGGGAAGTTCGACTTTATACAAATAATCTCAATACAAGCCATATGAAGTTTATTCGTCAAAATGGATATGAAATTATACAATGCACGAGTCGCACTCTCATGCGAGGAAGCCTAATTCAATGGAAAAAAGTCTTCCGTCCTGGTTCAGTTACAATCGGTCCGGCTCCTTCAGTGTCTGAGAGTGTGAGTGCAACAGACACGGATACCCACCGTGATAGCGCTAGACCCAGAGCAAGCACAACAGTCGTTATGGATTAAAAATCGACGGAGGAAAGCTTCTTGCTGCCTGTCGTTTAAAAGGGCGTCTGATTCAATGATCATTTATTTTTGTGCTTCATCTAATATTTCAGTATATGATGCTTTCTTTCTGTTTTCGAGAAGACTCAACGCTTTTTTGAGAAACCCGCACTGTTGTAATGTTTGTAACAAAACTCGCTCGTCATCAAGGATTACGGCGTTCGAGTGTTTTCATCAGATTTTTGTCGGGATCTCCGTCCGACGCGGTTACTCTTCTTCAGACTCCCCAGGGACGCCACGTGGTTCATATCGATGAATGGGAAGGTCTTCAGAAAATCAATGGAAGGGAATTTGTTGAGCCAGCAAGTCGAACACGAGAGGAGTTTTTGACGAAGACGGAACGAGTTCGAAAATCATTTTGTCAAGAAATAGAAGAAGTGGAATCATCTCTCATTCAAGAAATTTACAATGAGAGGCTGGATGCGGACATTTCACTGGAAACTGGACCAGATGGCTCGGCCAAACTCGTTCAGTACAAAAACGGCGAAAGGTGAGCTATTTGTCAATCCAAGGCACATTAACTCCTTGCAGGTGTGTCGTTCTGGATATTAGAGACGCTTTGACTGACTGCCAACTCAAGGATGGCGCACGGACAGTCCCGCGACTCCTTGCAGCCAAATTGGATTCTCGCCACAAGAGATTTCTAATTTGCGTCTCTGATACTGTCGGCAACGGCGATATTGGACGTCTGAGTGTTTATGATGTTGTGTCTTCTGAACGTTTTCTTGTCAGTCTTGATAACGTTTCGGAAGCCGAAATCTTGTTCGTGGGTGAGTCTTGCATAGAGAAGTAGCATGAATCAACAACATGAGGAAGACACGTAAAACAGAGACTGTCTTCAAGACACATTTATTCTCTCAAGAGGCTGATGAAGAGAAGAAAATCCAGTTGGCTGTTATTTGCAAAGAAGAAGGATTTCACCAGTTGTACGGTTTGTGTGTGACACCGAGCGGAATTATCAGCAAGCGGAAGGTGAGTGAATCCCAAGACGATGACAGATGATGATGTTTCTAAGATTGATCATCGAAAGAATGCAAGTCTTTCATTAGCGCGATCAAAATGTCAACGCGTTTTGTTTGTGTCGGAAATCGCAACAATTCGCAACACCACAATCCACCGAGTGTCTACTTTCGCGTAAGTCGGACAGTATTTTTATCCACTCTTTATCAACTACTCTTTTTATCTCACTTGTATCGATAATAGAATCAATGGGACAGAGAAGTCATTCGAGTTGCTGCATGAATACGAATCCCCTAATCAGATCATCTGCGACATTTGGTAAGCTCCATTTTCTGATGATTCTCGTTTCACAATCCATCTTCTTTCAAGGGATTCCCATCTTCTCTTGCTCGAGAGGACAAATGGTTCAATTCAGCAGATTCATGCGACAAAACTTGATTTATCTTTAATGTCGTTATGCGATACAAAACGTTTTCATCTGCTTTGGTCGTTCAAGTATTTCCATATCTCACACATTGATTTATTGAATCGGTAGGCTGTGACGACTGGACGATGACCCTAATTCATTTATCTTCCATTTATCTTTCTTGTATCTTCCACTTATCTTTTATTTATCTTTAGAGGAATTGTTCTATACGGAAATACTGAAACATCACGTCCTGAAATCAGGGTCCTTGTCCCAAGAGATCCGTCTTCACAGGAATTAGAGCAACCAGATGAATTGTCCATGTCCTGTTTTGCAATTGGTTTCGATTCGAATGGTTCTCCTTCCGTCACACAAGTAAAAGAATTTTCTCATTCGGAGGAGAAAAGGATCGAAATCGTCAATGATTCTCTTTCAACCCTCAATCGTTCTCCTGATCAATTTCCCTGTTTATTCAAAACCTCCCAATCTCCAAACCCCTTCACATCAAAGTTACCTTTTTATGGACATTTAACTCCTTTTCCTAATAATCGTTATAACGCAAGTGACGTTCAATTCATATTATCTTCTTTTTTAAGTAAGTTTTGTTTGATATTGATTCGCTAAACTGTTGGTTCCCTCAGTTCCAGAAATTTCCTACAGCATCCTGCTCCCAATTCCTTTCTCCAATGATCCCCCAACAATTTCAATCGATAAGCGTGTTGATCAAGGATCCCTCCCTATTAACCCTTCGGATTCCCAACACACATTTTCAATCCTTAGAGTTTCATGTCCCTCCCAAGATTGCAATGCGCAGATACCAATCACAGTTGTTAGGTAATCCCAAGGTGTCGGATTGTTTACCCGCTAATAGGGAACGTGATCAATCTCCTATTTGCTTCAATTGCTTCTCTATTTCAGGCCGTTGTACAAATCGCGTCTTCCAAAATCTTTAGAAATACTTCAATCCCCAAAATCGGACGCACTTTCAATCTCTCGCACCACAACTTCTTCAGCTCAAAGCGATTCCCCGAATTTCAGCGAAATTGTCGCTTCGTCCGTCTCCAGCACGCCTGTTCAAGATGTTTTGGGACAGTCGCCTGCTGTTTCTCCGTTTTCTTCCGATCGTTGGGAAGACAATGAGGATGATGAAGATCCACCAGCTCCATGCCTTCTACTCGTCTATGGGGCTTCAAGCGTCGATCCTTATATGGGATTTCAGCGTCATCTTTTGCCATTACTTGCACGGAATTGGGTGAGCAATCGAACAAAATAATAACGAAATAATAGGAAGACATTCGCTTTGACTTAGACGAGTTGTTATTCTTCAGACTGTCTGCGTCGCCCACATACGAGGGGGACCACCTCACTCACTCGATAGTCATTCGTATCCAGATTGGTCGACTTCCACTTACAAGTCAATGAAGGGAAAATCAGTTTCAGATCTTCGGGATGTTTGTCAATTTCTAATTGCTGAAGGAATAACAATCAATTTTAGATTGAATCTTTGTGGAAATTCATCGGGAGGATTGATTATCAGTCAATTAGTAAATATTCATCCGGAAGTCGTTAAGTATGGGAAATACGAATCATGGTTGCTTTTGGGAAAAAACTGTCTTCTATCCGAAATAAATCATCATTTGTTCTCTTGCAGCTCTGCTATTCTTGAATCACCTTTCCTGAATTTGGGACATACAATGACAAAAAGAGACAATCTTCTCTCCCCCCTTGATGCTGATGAATGGGGAATCGCGTCTCATCTGAATTCAATGAGGAATTTTCAATCTGAAAAAAATATTGGAAACCAGAATGGTGAGACAATAACATCATTGCTAGTCCCAAAATGAATAACTAAATGAAGAACTACATGAAGAATTAGATGAAGAATTTGTGGTGATGATCTTGACTCATCAATTGTTTGTGTTTCATGAATTTCAGAAGATTTTAGTATTTCTGATGATCTTGGAATTCTCAGTTGTTGGTATGACAATGAAATATTGTTTGTTGTATTCGGTGTCGCTTTCAGTCCATACTTTAATATTCCAGTTGAACCTTCGTCGACGCCATGGTTTCTAATTTCAACAGCAATGAATGACACAAAGTCAGTTAGTTGTGGATCAGATCATAATGACGATGATTTCCTATTTTCAGAGTTTCATGCACAGAGATATTTAAATGGATTTTAAGGAGAAGTATTCGATGTTCTGGTGCTGAAAAGATTTTATTGAGAATTGAAGAGTTTGGTGGGCATCAGATGGAGTCAACCGAAGAAGAACAGAAGAAATGGGAAGCTGAAATCTTGTCCTTTTTGGAAACAGTAACACAATAAAGCGACTGTCAAAAAGGACTTTAGAAAACCACACACAAAAGAATAATAGCAGAAAGGTCAGGAAGGAGACCCTGCATCGACTTTCGATACAAGATAAGACACGCGCATCTGAAAACGAGAACTGAGTGCTACTGCGCATTCATCTACTCACCTCCAAGCTATCCAATTTTTCTTGTAAACGCCTTTCTTTTGCAGCCTCTTTCAGCGCGCTCCTTGAGTAC